CGTCTGAGATACTGATGCACTTTTTTGTGGCTTTAATAATCCACATTTAACCCACTGCTGAATACGGCAAAAGAGCAGATCCAAGCAAACATTTTCACCAACTTGGAAACATGAATCACAGCTGATCTGATTGTTTTCCTATCAAATTTAAAATAAAAGGAAAAGATATAGATATCAAATCTAAATAACAGCCTGCAGATATTTCACAGCGTGAGGGAGTTGCTTAATTATTTTCACATTTGATGCGAATTTCATTTTTGTTTCCGATATTGGCTTTTAAGCTGGGACTTAACAGCCATGCACGGAGGAGATTAGAAGGTGGATTTCTTTGCGCAAACTGTCGAAAAGCTGATGGAGAGAACTAATCCTCTCTATCTGCATCATCATTCTTTAAAACTGCACGCTTTCTGTCTGTCTGTATTTCTCTTTTCAGCAGTTCAATTTCATTTTAGTGCACAAAAGATGACCTGCCCTTTTTTATGTTTAATTTTTTATGAACAGGGCACCAGTAGCCGCTGATTTTTCTTTCCCCTCCAGTGAAAAAGGGTTTCACACATTGTGCTCTGCTTTATGGTTTGTGTGAAAAACTGTCGCAGGAGGTTTGGCTCGCGCATTAACCCAGACCCCGACAATATCACGCTCAGCAGTGGCCTGAAGCCAGGCTTTGAGAGGATGCCACCCTCGCTTTGTTTGAGGGACCGAGGGCTCGATGGCAGCAAGGGTGCTGGTTATGATGACAGCGCCGCTGCAGATCAACTGATCAATTATAGCCACGCAGGTATGGAAAACAAAAAAAAAGTCATTATTAATTTATATCTGAAGAAAAAGGTCAGCGAGCTGAACTCTCACAGCCGCCGCTGATTATAGTCACAGAAGAACAGACACTTCATCCGGGTGCGCTCTTAATCTGAGCAAATGTAAGCTGGTGGTGCTTCGACACAAATCCCCCCACTGTCCTTCCTTTGAGAGATAAAGAGAGAAAGATACTGATTGCTTTTCCTATCCATTTTTACTCAAAGACGCACCTCACATCAGCAGGAGTCATTGTTTGTGACTGGGTGTTGCTGCTGACATGTCGAACTGGCTTTGTTTTATTTTGGAATTAGGCTCCACAAAGGAGAAATCAAGACTTTTTTTAAAATATTTCGCAGGTGCTTTAAGTTCTCCTTTCCAGCAGTTTGATGTCTGACACATCCTCGGGCCGGATGCTTCAAATCTACATGAAACTCCATCAAAATAGCACTGCCTTGTTATTTTGTTTCAAACTTAGAAGCAGCTTTTGTTTAAAGTAGATGTAGCAGGCAAAAAAAAAAAGAAAGAAAAAGTAAGCAAAGCAGAATCGAAGAGCCATTTCATCAGTCGGGGTGCTGGAATCTAGGCAACAATGTTTGCCAGCCGTGGTGGCAGCGGAGGAGGTAAGGGGGGGAAATACTCCGTGGAGGACCTCTATGGCATCAGTAAGAAGCCCAAGGCGTCGACCTCCTCAGGGAGTATTGTGGCCAAGGCTGGGACCCGGAGCAGCAAGAGCTCGGAACAGAAGACTGAGTCAGAGGCCTTGGCCTCTCAGATCCTGGAGGCAGCCCACAGACTGGTGGAGCGACGCCGGCTGGAGCTGTACCTGAGAGAATGTGGCCTCTCCCTGGCTGAGTGCGAGGCTGAGCGCTCTGCAATGCCGTACAGGTATGAGGAGAAGACTTTACAGCATGAAACCATGAGGCAGTTAGAGTTTGTAGTTATGACTTAGTACATTTAATTAGGCCACTAAAAAAAATAATAAATAAAAGCAATTATTAATAATAAAGAACTGGAATGTACAGCCTACACAAGGCTGCAGATTTAACTCCGTTCTGGGTTTCGGCTGCTTTTTTAGCGAGTGCAGGACTCACACTGAATGTCTGGATTTTACAGAGATAATAAGAGACCATCCCGAGCACTCAGCCATCCGTGGATGATCCATTTTAATAACATGGTTAATATTTTTCTAACATATTACTAATGCGTTGATGTAATTGAGTGTTTGGAGAGGACTGCAATTGAAAGGCAGTGAGTGGAGACATCATTCACGAGAGATGGGGGAAAAAAAATATTATTATTTTTTTTGTTTTTTTGTTGTTTTTTTCTCACTGGTGACCTAAAAAGAAACATCAGGCGTTTGATGAGATTTCAATGCAGAGGACTGATGAGTGTACGTGGCCGGACTGCAGAAGCATCCGGTTGTTCAGGAACGCTAATGTGAGTTGTACGTGAGCCATTGTCTAATTCCAGCCTTTCCAAAAAACAGCCTGACGGGGTCAGGCATCAGTGGTGCAGAAGTTTGGGGTTAATGATGCATGATTTGACAGCGGGGGACGGGCGGTTGGTTGTTGTACCGCGTGCATCTCTCTGTTTAAAGTGTGGAGGCGAATGAACGGTGGTGTTGGCTACTCTTCAATCAGTTTACCAAAAACCTAGGGAAAAATAGATTTTTGTAAATTGAATGAGACCTGAAAAAAGGAGGGGTGGGGTGCTTGCAGAGAAGAGGAAGATACAGGCCAGGCTGCTGCATATTTCATTATTACTGCTTAAACACCATCATACTAAAATACTGAGTACAGATTCCATTACATTTGTCATTTTATTTGCTATAACACATCCAAAACATGCAAACACAGTCATCTAGTCTCCAGCACAGTTGCCTCTAGGTGGCAGCGTCATCATGGTGTGAAGACAAGTCTGTGACCAATGACTCAAAAGCAGAAAGAGGGACAATAGTGCAGGCCAAGGGGTATCATTTGCAATTTCACATCATTTTTATGCTCAGATCTAGGACTTACTTTATAGCACATTTGTACTGGCAGCGTACATTTTGATAGCTGAAACAAACTAACGGCGTACCAGAGTATGATTCAGTTGATTCGACCACCTCTGGCAGAACCGCTTCCATCACTTGAACTGCCCCACAGAGCCTCCAGTGGAAGTTGTTTCCACAGCCTCTGTGCGCCTTCATTTGCATGAGATCTGGACTCCCTCCTGACAGAAAATGATTACCTGTAATCAAAACAGAAGCCAGCATCTACCTTGACGTTCTTTCTCGTTTTCCCGGTTTAGCTGCAAACATTTGAGCTGCAGAAATGTGAGCTATTTAGATTCTGAAAAACAGACAACGAGGGCCGAATGAAACGAAGCTAATAGGTCAGACAGATTCGAACATGTGTGAATCTTCATGGATTATATCAAAGGAATTCTGTCCTCTTTTCGAGGAGCTGAATTACTTTTGAATAAAAACCGCGAGGAGAAACAAGATGCCTTCAAAGTCACAGGGTCAACGCCATCAGCTTTCTCAGAACGTCATGCGAATTTCATGTTGAGGCACACCTGCAAACACTTCTTAGCGTTCTTTAGTGCTATTTTAGTTCAAGCGTGTCAAAACCAACATGAACACCACCATGGGAGACGAGTTTTCTTGCTTCATCCTGCTTTAAAAAGACATTTACACATTTATTTATTTCTCTATTTACCAGGTTATGTCGAATTGTTCTGTTTTTAAGTGAAAATGGAGCCAAAAGGGTGACAGGCAAGTCCAGGTCATTTCATTCTGTAGCATTAAAGGAATATGCTTGCAAGCACTTATCAAAGTGCGGTTTGGCAGATTTTAGGGGATTATAGCTCAGAAAGTCACACTTTGTGATGAGTTTTTACGCTGAGTTGCATGAATAACCTACCTTTTCAAGGACGTTCAAATTATAGAAGCTCTTGTATAATCCAGCTTGAGAAGAAAAAAAGCCATCTACTGTATCCCCTTATTTTCTGATAATTTGATTCTATAACCTTATCATTACTAGAAAAATAAGGATGCACCACACATGTGCTCATTTTTGGTCTTTCTCCACCCAAATACTTCAACATGAGGCTCACAAGTGCTGGTTGTGTCCCGAGGTTTTAGCGCTGTAAGCTTCTGAAGTGGAGAACAGACTGAGTCAGTGTCATTACTGTGTAATACGGCGATGCCAGTGGCCATTATTTGGAGTGAAGGGGAAGGTTAAGCCTACAGGGAGATGAAGATAAAGAAGTCGACATGATTATGCAAAAGTTTGGCTATACAAAAATAATGTGCTTCCTGGAAAATAAGCGCCTTAACAGTGAAGTGGAAGTAATTAAATCTTCTCCTCTTTTGAAGCGCCACCACGGGCAGCATTCGTATTTTCTCTCTGCCTGTACAGCTGGAAACTTCCCCGTCCAAACTTGTGCTGAATGGTTCTTTAGAAAGAGCTGATTGCCAACTCAAAGTCACATTCTGCTGGCAGTGGATGCCCTGCAATCTGCTCTGGGACTGCAGATCTGCTTCAAAACACTAGATGTGAAACCAAATTGACAATGGTGACAAATGTGGGGTATTTTGCACATCGTCCTGCTGTGTGAAGCAGACTTAGCGGGGCGAGCACTAACCACAGAGTAAAGCCTTTTGGATTGACAGTCCTCTCTAAGGATATGGCATCACACTTTAGATGGTAAACAAAGCCTGGAAGGGGCTATTATCATTGCTTGGCCACCAAAATGACACATCCATTTCATTTCATTATGATGGGCTGCAGGATGATCTGATATGCCCTGCCGTGCTATGCCCGTGATGTGATGTATTGTGACTTAGAAACCATCTATCCTCTGTTTGCTCAGAGGTAGTAATGAGTGTAATTCTGGTGATTGGGTCATTGATGGCAAATCAAGCTATCATTGGGGAGGGCAATGTTTTGCATAGAAAGAATAGGAATAATGGGAGTGGTGGGACGACAGAATTCTGGACCTTATGGAGGGAAAAAAGATGGTTTGGGGAGGGGGTTGAGTAAGTATAGCCTAATGTGTGCCTTTGTGATGAAATGTGTGCGCATCGGTGTGATGAAAAAATGTGGATCACACCCGAAAGAAAGGGAGGGAGAGGGAGTATCTATCCAAACCCCCACACTGCTTGTGTGTCGTGAACGTTTTGAAGCCTGTGGAAAAAAAAGGAGGGGGGGGGGCGGTCTCCAAATGATGCTGGAGAGCCGAGAGGCGGCACCGAGCGTTTGAAATGTCTGCTGCAGCTGATTTTGGGGCCAGTATGCCGGCATTTTTCTCCCAAATCCGCGCACCCTGAGATCCTGGCGAACAACGGGAGACGTGCACAGTTACCGCTGCTGCCGGTATGTGAACAACTTCTCACACTGAAGCTAAAGATGAACCGGCTCCGTGCTTGCTGATTTTGTTGGGTTTTTTCCCCCCCTTCTTCTTCTTTCTCCATCGCTGTTGCATCAATTGGATGCTGCGTGAAGCCGCTTGGTGATGATGCATTGGTGGGGTTTGAGTGTCTTTACCCCCGATCTGACTTTTCTCCTCGGCGATGTAAATTCGAGCTATTGAGCCCGATCTTTTTTTTTTTTTTTTTTTTTTTTTCCCTTTTGCTCACCCACCTTGCGACAGTAAAATAAAAGGTGGGGGAGAAATATGAGTGATTTCGACGCGAGGTGTGAGGATGCCTGTAGCTGTGGTTGTGTCATTGCTGCGGCACGTTCCGGAGCTCCTCAGCTCAAGACAGTCTCAACAAACCTCAGCTGAAGAGAAAACAGCAAGCTGGCAAGTGCTTTATCACCCTACATAAGCCATACAGAGCCCGTGCATGTTATGTCGGACGAAGCCACTCTCCAGGGAGGGCATCTATTGCACTGAGATTTTATTGGGGTGGGAGGGTGGGGGGGCTTCCCAAGAACTGCCACATCCCCAAATTCGTCTGAGGACTGCTGCGAGCACACAAGCTCCCTGATGATTTTTGGAGGGCAGCCCTGATGCATCGTGTGAGTGTGAAAGCTCCGAGAGCCTTTTTGCCAGGTTTGCATCACCAGACAGGAGACTGAGCAGACGGTAACTCTGTGTGTGTCATGTTTAGAGGTTGGACTCTTGCCTGCTCCCTCCAACTCTGAGCCAAAATCTTTGACCTGCCCTGTCTGAGCCCTTTTGTATGAGCATCACGGCGCTGCCACAACAGCACGACGGGAAACGGTGTCGAGCAGCACCAACAGTTTGTAGACATTGCTGTTTGTGTGACTCCTTGTTTAAAAGACAAAAAACAAACCCAACCCTATACTCAGACTCTCAGAATAAGAGACACAGACATCAGCTGCCAGGATGCAGGTGTCTTTTGCATGCACTGAGCACAACCTCAAAAGTCGCAGCGAGGACCGGCTTTGTGGCCTTCGCACCGCTCCACCTCCTGGAGGGAGCAGTGGCGGAGTAGGGGGAGGTGGTGGCGGTGGAGGAGGAGGAAGTGGAGGTGGTGGTGGTGGTGGAGGAGGAAGCGGAGGTGGAAGCAGTGGACAAGGGAGCAATGGCAACTACATGTCTCAAGGTTCTGTCAAGACCAGGGAGGGTTCCGGGTCTCGTCAGACTCCTCAGGGTCACGCCCACATGAAGGAGGCTATTGGGCGCCACACCAATATGAAGTACAGGTGAGTATGAGCCTGACTGGGGGAGACGAGGAGCCGGAGCTTTATTGGTTGGAGAGATGGCTTTTATTTCGCTCTGATCACTGTGGCCTTTTGACCTCCACCAGAGGTGAAAGTCCTCCACCAGAAACAAGGTGTTGGGCCTCTTCTTCACAATGAGGCTCTACCTGCCTTGCCGGGCCTTCATTATTCCTAGTTCTGCCAGTCTCTTTGCTGAGATGTGAGGTGAATTCGAGGTTAGCTTGTCACCAAACATATCACCAGTGAGCAGACTGTGCAGACTGCCTACATATCCATTAGCCAGATGAGAAACACCTCAGTGAGAGCAATGACTTCTCTGACATTACAAAAATATGACATTTATTCCTAAAAGCGCTTATGGATATAAATAAAAAAATGCTTACATAAGTCATACTATATAGCCCTAATGCTATCACAATATTTCAGACAGTATGCATATGGGAGCATTAGCCACAGACTTTGCGTTAGCCTCTTTCTCATTTCAGCAGATTAATAATACAAAAAAAGCTTTCCTCCAATAACAGCTTCTCCTGAAACCACACTAGGACGCCCGGCTTTTCTTAGAGGTTTTAAACACATGTACTTTCATAAAATAGCCTTGCAGGAGACCATCGTATGCACAGAAAATCTCTGCTGCACACACACCAGGTCTGAGTCATAAAGTAGGAAGGAAATCCAACCAGATAAACAACAAGACAAGAATGCAATGTATGTTTTTCCTCTTTTAGTTTGTTGGCAAACTTGTGGTTTACCTTTGATGGATTAGAGCTTGAAGCTAAACAAGGACAGCTGTTCATGCACAGCTCATGCATGAAGGAGGCTCGTATTTATACATAAACATACATTTTTTTTAAAAAAGGGGGGGAAAGCACAAAGCATGCACTTTAACATTAGGCTGCAGACTTCCACAGGCTCACACTGTGTTTCCATCTTTGGGCTGTAAAATTCGAGAACTAGGAGGAGAGTTTTAACGACCTGGTTTCTTGGTAATCAGGTTGATTGAATTGCTGCCATTCTCTTCAGTCAATTTAGTTTCCACTTAATAAGATGCTTAAAAAGGGAATAAGGCACAGGACAAAACTAGGATATTTCCACTCCTATTTTTTCCCTTTAGAATCACACACATACAGGACTTTATGATTGGGCTGGATTTTTCCAGTTGTTCTGTCGTCTCTAAAAAAGTGTCACTAATAGGGAGTGCAGCAGCACAATAAGTCTATACAGCATATGGCCACTTCCAGTTGCCATTGGCAACACCCCAGGCATTGCCTTTAGTTTTTGTCTTATTTTCTAATCAGCCAGCACTGCTGTCGCTTATCAGTCCTTTCCTTAACTGAGTGTGCTCAAAGCTCCACCACCTGCACCACAACAGTCTGGTTGTGGCGGCGTCGTGGTGGCCGCACATTCCTCATTTCACACCGTTATCACAATTACACAGAGGTCAGGAAGGAAGCAGGCTTCTGCCTTCACTTTAAACCACCCGTGAACTATATAGATATATAGAAAAGTGGGCCATGGCCACTGTGGTGTCATCCACTGGTTTGTGGAGTCCCGGATTTGACCATGTTTGGATGAATGGCTGGAATACAAAGGTGTGTCCAGAGACTGTGTAACTGCATCGCGCAGAAACAGATATCTGCTAATTATTGCTAAGTAACATAGAAATAGAATAAAAGAATATTACTCTGCAAAAAACACCTGAGCACAGATCTCTTGTTGGTGTCATTAACCACACAGTGAGTCCTGTGACTTGTCAGATGATTGCATTAAAAATGTTCCAGGGGGGCACAAACACACAGAAGAGGTCACGATGGGTGACGAAACATTTCCCAGCTTCTGCTCAATGGTGATAACGTTGAGTATAAATGAACTTATATTATATTATATATTTAGATGGTGAAAATGAGTTAAGGAGACCAATGTGCCAGGCTGTAAACATGCCCTATAATGCTGTTTAAACGCAGTGGGAGATTGAGTCACTCTTGTAGGCAGCCTCAAGTGGCCATTTGAGGAACTGCATTTTTTGGCACTCCAGCGCTGGTTTCTATTTCCAGTTCTGGATGCTGCTGCTTGCGTTGACCACATCTTTGTGGCCCTTCTGTCTCATTAACCCAAGTATTGATCACTCACAGGCAGGTCACAGATGCTCAGAGTCTTTCTTTGCGACTCTCTCTATCTTCTTTCTTTGATCTTGTTTAAGCTCACTGTTTTCTTTTCAAATGCTGCCCTTTTTTACTCCCTCACAGTGCACTGCAGCATTCTGGTTTGTGTGTATGTTTGTGTCTGTGTGCGTGTGCAATATGCTGGGTGTTCAGTGTGGCCACAGGGTATGCATTCGAGCTGATGGAGAGGTGACTGTAGCGGTCAGTTCTGTCACTCAGCAAAACGTCTATTTTTAAAGTAACTAAACCTTCTGTTTTCAACACCAAACTGTCCAGATGGCCCATTTTAAGGTTCCATTTGGCACAATACACTCAAGTTTGAGAAAACTGAATTAAAAGATATGACAAGATAATGCACATTTCACAGACAACGCCAAAAATGATTCGACTTTCCTCTGGAATCGCATTTTTGTCATGTTTGCACCTAAATATTTCAAAAGAGAATTTATCTAAAAGCATCATTCACAAAGTTGTCTGTGCAAATTAAAATGCACATGAGTTAGAATAAAATATGGTATATCTGAGCATCATGAATTTCTTAAAACATTTTTTTGGTATGAGTTTAAAAAAAAGAAAAGGGAATTTGATTTACATTAATACTGGAGAAGACCATAGATCTATCCACCGCTGTTCCTCACAGATGGCCGCGGGGCACGCTGTGTCTGTGGCGGATGCCTATAAATCTTAATGCATGCTTGAGAGATGGAGAATGTGAATAGGGAAGCCCTACTCAGATAAAACATTCAGCACTGACATGCAGTAAACTGTGAAACAAAGTATTATTGTTAAAGAGCCAAGATGTGAGAAAATCAAAATAAGTTCAGGACAGCTGGAAAGACATGAAGGAGTTTAGGAGCGATTACCCAAGAATGCCGTTCTACTGTATCTAAAAGAACTCAAGTTAAACTTAAAGACATGTGATTGTGAAGAGTGAGAACAAACTATTGATGACACTTGCACGTGATGTTTCACATCACAGCCAGCAGCTTAGACCAAAGACTGGAGACGAGGAGCTGTTGCTGGTTCCATGAAGAGTCTGTGACCTGATGGGAATTGCTGTGGTGTTTTTGCACTTTGGCTTTTGCAAGGATTAATCAAGTAATAGAGACCTTGTTAATCAATGAGCTTTAAGTTCTGTCACCTTAGGTGCACCAGTTGACCTCTATCATCTGCTTTGGTGCAAAGCAACCGCTCTCTGTTAGTGATGTGGCTGTACTCGTGCTACAGATCAAAATCTTAAGCTCTACAAAAGTTCCCTGATTTCAGATTATTTTGCCAAACTAATGTATTTCCAAGCTGTTTCTACATTTTTAAACATTTAGGACATGCTGCTCCAGTTAAAGCAGACGACAAACAAAAGCCTCAGCTGTACCATAAAGAGAAAAACAAGAAAAAGAAGATGTAGCGTTCATAATAATACCTGATACTGGGTAAGGTCGCATGTTAAACTGGAGAACAAAGCCTTCATGTATTTTCATGAGGATTTGAAGTGTTCTGACATTCAGCCATGCAGAGAGGTGTCGTTGTCTGGAGGAGCGGAAGGTGGAAATCTCAGTAGCGTAGTCGCAGCAGCTGAAGCTTTGGCGTCGAGCGGCCCTGTCGACTTTAAACACGCATCTCATGCTCATTTAGTGCTGCGAGACGGTGACCTACCCTGAGTGTTATTACTCTCGCCGCGTGCCTCTTCTTAGCATTCAGATTCTTATCTCGCCCGCGTTTATGCGCTCTGACGGCACAGCGGCGTCACCGGCTCGCTTCGTTAATTTCACTCCACGCGCCGTTCACACGCGTGCCACCGAAGGCAAAGCGAAGTGTAACAAATCCCCAGCAGCGACTAAAATATTCATCGTAACCGGCAGGTGAAGCGATAATGTAGTGATTTTGACCTCACGCTGTTGTCATGATTAACCACGGGAAATAAATGGCCTGTGTGGCAGGGAGGAGAACACGACTGCGGGCTGCAAAAACCTTGACCTTCAGCTCTCCCCTCTGTCGCTCTGGGACATTTATTTATTTATTTATTTATTTATTTATTTATTTTCAGGAGGGGTTCCAGTTGACTGGGCAGATTAGTGACTCACTTTGAGGTCTGGGAAGTTTTAGGCAAAGTAACGCCGGGTGTTCACTTGCTTGATTTCAACCAAAACATAATCCAAACCATGATCTGTTTACTGTCTGCTAAACTGTGGCTGCTTATTTTCATCTGCCACCCACTACTACAGCACGCTGTACGGTGCTTAATGTTATAATTACTGCATATATCGTGCATCTGAACAATATCTAGGCTGTTATTATGTGTGCAGCTGCTTGTTGGGACTTGATTAAGTGTATGCAGCGGGCAACTTAATCCTCTCAAAATGCAAAGTGACCTGCGTGTCAGTGTTGTTTGATGAAGCTCAGAGTTGTCGATAATTGACTGCATTTGGCGGCTTACTCTTAACTGAGAGGCATCGTAATCGCGGCCAGAAAATCCACATCACGTCCTCGGAGTAAGGCTGTCTCATCAAAGTCAAAGACTGGTATTGTCTTCTGGCAGAGCCATCATGGCCGCATGTTGTTATTATGTAAGAGCAGAGGGCAGCCTAATGAACAAGTGTCCGCATGCTCTGGAAAAGACTCAAAAGGCATTTAATTAGATGATATCAATTCCTCTTTCTTCTTTTAAAATCTTACTTTTATTTGAAACTCTTTTCAGTGTTTTAATATATTCATTTATTTAAATAAATCTTGGTAGCATTCATTTGCCTGCCGTGTAATACACTGCAAAATTCATTAAGGCAAAGTAGTTGAGCTGTTTTAAATCACAGGGAAACAGGAACACCAAAGAAAACCGGAGGACGGCGCGATACTCAAAAACATGCTCGCGATTGCATTCAATCACTTTGAATTCACTGCGCTGTCACTCACGGGGGCATGAGATCCGGAAAGCGCCACATCCCTCAAATACTCGTCTTTATCCGTCTGCCAGCGGACATGAAACAGAGGCAGAGTGCAGCGACCTTCTCAGCGAGCGAATTTCATTAACATTTGATTACATGTTGGGGCGAGTGAACATTTTTTTGGGGGTTTTTTTTTTTGTCGCAGGTCACGTGTGTTCCCAAACTTGGAATAAACAGTAATGACAGCGCATTGTGTCAAATTCAGCTTGTGTGAGCTCTTTCCTGCACCACTTCATTACATGCATTTTTAGTTAACGGGAGAGTCAGGACCACTAATAAAGTGTCAGCAGCTGATACGCAGAATTGGAGGAGAGCAGCTGAGATTGTGCGTGTGTGTGTCTTTGTGCCCCTTTTTCTCCATTCGCTCCCTGCACAGCATGTGTATTTTATAATTAGGACAGACCTGATTTCCTAACTGTTTTAATATAGCTGAATTAAAAAAAAATCACATTTACATGAAGGGTCCATTGTTTAGGCTAATGCTTTTAAAAATAGCTACATCAATAATTAGTACACTCTTAGATGCTGGGGTTTTGATTAGTGCCAGGCCATGTGGCTAATTTGGTTTCATTTGTCATATAAACCCAAAAATGTAGCTCTGTTGGCATGTCTCTGGATTATTGAGAATGACAAGCAAAGTAAAAGTTTGTGGTGGCGTTTTTTTAGTGCCATAACTTCTGCCCACTCCATTGATTGTATTTAGGCAGGCACAGGTGAGAAAATCTGTTCTCTGTAATTTGGGTGAAGTGACCCTTTAAAGCCACAAAACAGTGTGTGCAGCATTACTGAAAGAGAACAGACAGTCCACCATCTTCCCACACTCTGTGCTCAGAAAATGTGTGTCTAAGCATACACATAAAACTGACGTGAGTGTTATTAATATCTAGGTCTTCCCTCTGGAGAAGAGCCTGCTCAGCATGTGTGTGGCATTTTATGACAACTGCAGAGGGAAGGGGGAGAAAAAAAGTCCACCATTAGCACCTAACCATCTGTATATAGTGTCTTCCTCCTGTCTCAGGTGAAAACTAACTGTGAATGTCAGCACAGGTTAAAATGCTGACTAAACCGTGACGGAGCACCTGTGTGTCTCCTCTGTCTCTCTCTCTCCAGCGTTAATAATGTATGGACGAGGCAGCCAAGTTGCTACAATCATCTCGTTTGGAGATCATGATTTATGGCAATGGAAAAAATAGAGAAGAAAACACTGGAAGACCTACTTATAAAGGCTATAGAGAAGCATCTGTGTGCCCTGCTCAAGAGTGCATTCATGCATGTCTGCATGTGGAACTGTGCCTGCGTTCCAATGCAATTCCCATCAAGCGTGAATATTCACGTGAAAGCATCGAACCCCTCCCCATAATGACACATGCACAGCATAGATGTTTTCCGTTTATTGCACAGCGTCCCTCACATCCGCCTCAGATGAAATATAGGCCGAGCGTCTGGGTGTACTGCGTGCGGGAGATAGTGGGAAAAGACTGTCAATAGGGAGATAGTGCGAGGAAAGACAGAGCATGTGTTTCTCCAGACTCACTGATAGTAATTTAGCAGACTGCAGCATTGCAGAGAGCGGCGGAGTTGAGCGCAAGGGAGGGGGCGGCCAGTTGTCACACATGGAAACAGTGACATCCTCTATTGCTCAGAAGCACACGCGCACACACAGACATAAAAATGAGATTTTTATGTGGCTCGGCAATTGTGGAATTCGCCCAGTAATGCACACCGGTTTCAAATTTGCTCCCTGTCATGATGCGTTCACAAGCAGCGTTCACCAAACACGAGGCTGTCAGCTTCATGCACTCATCTTTAACAAGCATATCGGATAGAAGAGCATTTAACAGAAGAAGGAGAAGAAAACATTTGCGTAACAGCCGTATGCCACTGGATGCTTGACACACTCCACCGAATGCTGACTCATGTTTTGGTGGTATGTGTTTTTTCCTCACACGTAAGCCTTCTGTTTGCCGTCCTGGTCCAATGTGAAAAGGAAAGTATGGACAGAAGGTGTGTGACTAAGCTGGGGAACAGATTTTTATTGTCCTTAATTCACAGCTCAAAGCCATCATGCATAATTCTAATGAGTTTTTCTCAAGTTCCCTAAAAATAATAATAAAAAAGAAGGTAATAAACAAAAATAAAGTTGGGTATAAACCATATCGTTTATTTGCTCCCGGTGTGCAGATACAGAAGCTACCTCAAAAGCAATTTTGAATCAGTTTCAAGCTTTGCTTTAGAAGCTGATTAAAACTGTAGGGAATATTTTTTCCGGATGCTGTTATTGGCCCCACCTTGTCAAATGTTGCTTGACAAAAAATAAATAAAATCCCCTTTATTCTCATCCAAATAAAGTTGAGACAAAAAAGGACTGATTTGATGGACACTACAAAAAAAGAAGAGCCAACAAAAACGAACAAAACAAATGGTAAAATATTCAGGTAGCTCATTTGAAATAACCCAGTCTCTGAAATATGTTTTTCCCATGTGCCTCATTTAAATTTACTCCCAGTGTTCAAAGTGGCTGTCAGCGTGAGAGAACAGACAGAGCTGTCATTGGTTGACGAACCACGAAGAAAAGCCAGCTTACCATACAAGGAATCAGCTACATCCAAACCCCGCAGACACATTTCCCTTTAAATAGCTTTCCTGACCTTCCACCTGTGTGCTTTTTTAACAGTTTAACGTAATGACACAAACAATATGTATTTCACACCCACATGGAGTGCTCACATAAAGACTGATGCCCCCACTACACACACACACATAAAGATCGTGAAACAAATGCTTACATATGCAGGAATCTAAAAATAGCATAAGGTTGGGAATAGAAAATAGACCAGGAAAATAAAAGCGGGACTTGTTCGACTGAGTCTAAATGCTCTGACAGTCTGTCTTTGTGCATTTGGCTGTTTCGCGGTGGACGCAGGCAGACAAGCCGAGAGGGGAGAGGCGCTGGAGATGAAAAGACGGCGAGCAGCGAGGTGCACTGCAGTTCTGCCGGCTCTCCAGCTGGCTCCCCGGCTAATTAGAATGGGGGAGAGCACACAGGAGAGCAAAGCATGAAGCCCACATCATTTTCAGCTGTACATGCTCCTGTGGTCAGAAATGCAGCTCTCTGCTTCTCCCCCGCCTGCCCTTCAAAATTCAGCTGTCTGAATAATCAGATGTGGCATGTCAGTTAATGGACTCCTCTTTAGCTCACAGAGCATTTTTGAGCCATTTATGGTGCAGACCAAAGAAGCTTTTGCCAGGACTCTCTAACTGCGCTGAGCTCCGTCCCCTCCAGGTGTTTCACTGGCCCACTGTAATACACTGAACTGCTAACATACGAGGGATGAAAGGTCAATTGTTCAGAAATAATTAGACAGAGGAAGTCATTTTACCAGAGGCGAGAAAGACTTTCACTCAGCAGCTGCAGTGGAGGAGTGAAGTGTCGGAGACTACGATAGAAATAAATTACATCTGTGTCCGGTTTTTAATTTTGTGTCGTACTTATGTTTTACATGTGACACCAGGTTTGTGTTACATGCTGCTACAGAATAATCAGGATCTCATCAACAACATCGCCATATTAAGGCGACGTTTAGCTTTCAAATCCTGATGTGTCCAGTAAAGCAGTGAGCCAGCTCCCTCATAGACGTGAATAAATAGTTTATAACGCTGTAATGTAGTTGTGAGTGGATGTGATTATTAATAAACCGAAACTACTTCAGATGGCTCGGAGGCTTGGGTAGAAACAAATAAGACAAAATGTGTGTTAAATACAGTGTAACATTGCAGCTGCCATCTTTTTTAAACTCCACTTAGGTATCTCTTAGTCTCATCACTGCTTAACCACAGTGTCTCCCTACTGAGGATTGCTCATCACTCACATGCGTACATCTTACTGACTGTGTTTGAAGATTGTATGTCCAGATATATTCCAACTGCCCACACATTTTGTGTGTGTGTGCGCTTTACAGGCATTTCTCATCTAACCTCCTGATTTTTCCCCTTTCTATAGGAACCTGGGAAAATCGGGCCTACGTGTTTCCTGTCTCGGGTTAGGTAAGTTGGGATGAAGGCAGGGAAACATTCAGCTCAGCTTCAAACTCTTAAATAAAATCCGTCTGTCTGTCTCTCCCTCTCTCTCCTTGTTCAGGCACCTGGGTGACATTTGGATCGCAGATCTCTGATGAAGTGAGCATTCTCTCTCTGTGTTTGTATGAGAAATCGATTCCCGCACACCTTCACTCGTTTGGTTTTTGTGTAACACCGTTCGGCGCACTGTAAACAAATCTCAGTGTTCACGATCGCAGGAATATGTGTGACAGGCCTTAAGACTGCTGTAGCTTGGCGAGATATTGTCTGTATTATCCTCCCTGAGTAGTGCCCTTCATGAACGACCTCTGGGTAATTGGAATTTATCCGCCGTCTGCTTCTCTCAGTCTCAGTTTTTGTGTTCTCTCAGATGGCGGAGAACCTGATGACCGTAGCTTATGAGAACGGAGTGAACCTGTTTGACACAGCGGAGGTGTACGCCTCTGGAAGGTCAGACTTCACTTTCCTCTCCTGAGCCTCAATTAAACTTTTTTTTTTTTTAAATCGTCTGATTTCTCTCACAGCAAATACAAAAATTTAAACCTGTTTTTATGTGACGTCGTCTTTTATTGTCTGCCGTTTTCCATTCTTCTTCTCTACATTAATCTGGTTTTCTTTGGTCTGCGTGTCTTTATCATTTATTTATCTCGTTAAACGTTACATACAAATAAAGTTTATTAGCCTCAGCCCGTCACAACCAATGATGTGTTTCTCCACAGGGCGGAAATTACTCTAGGGAACATCATCAAGAAGAAAGGTTGGAGGTGAGATTACTCATTCTTCCTAACTGACTCACAGGCATGCAAACCTTTTTAACTCGACCAGATCACAGATTTACTTTAAATAATCCCTAATAATCCCTTCCTGAGATGAAATGCATTACTACATGTTTTTATTACTTTTGATAGCGGCACACCATTAAATTCTCTCAAGGGAAAGCCATGCTTGGGGAAAAAATGTAGAGCTTTATCCTCAGAGAGACTAAAAAGGATAAAAATGTTAAATTCCCTGATCAGAGATGGTGGCTGACTCACCCAGCTGCCTAAGAGACACATATTGGTAATAAAATGTTTTAATTTTAACACCAGAAAGAGAGAAAGACTGTCCGTACTATTAGATTTAGGATGAGCTGATTCCCTTAACTTAAATGTTATGCTGCAATCAAAATACTCACGACTCCTGTCCTTGCCAGACGTTCAAGTTTTGTCATTACGACAAAAATCTACTGGGGAGGCCAGTAAGTATAAGACTAAAACACTAGACTCTTCACATTTCTTCAACCCAGCCTCTTCATCATTTTAACTGAGGATCAATGATTTGTATTTTCACAACTTCACAGGGCAGAGACAGAGAGAGGACTCTCCAGAAAGCACATTATTGAAGGTACAGTCTACTCATGTATTTGCAAAGTGTAAACCAAATAAGGGGTTATTCTGGTCCAGTTGAAAGCAATTTAAATAAATTTCAGTTCAGTTATATTTATAGAAAATTCAACAGATCACACATCAGTTGCCTCGGGGCATTTTATTTTGAAAGTTAAATACCCTACAATAATACGGAGAAGACGAACAGAGCAAGTGCTTTGGCGACAGTGGGAAGGAAAAACTACCATTTAACAGGAAGAAACTTTCAGCAGAAACAGACTCAGGGAGGGACAGCCATCTGCCACAACTGGTTGGCGGTGAGAGGAGAAGACATTGGATAAATATTTTTCTGCAGCTTGACTTTAAACTGACAATTTAAAATAGAAAATGGGTCATTTGGAGCTGGACCACAACATCACCATAGATACTGTGGGGATCTCTCACTCAATGACTCAAATTAGCTGAGGTGAAACTTAGCGCACAGCTGGCAGAACTTTGATATAAAATGAAGTGGTGATTTACATATATAAAAAAAGGCAGAAGTGCCACAAACTGCAGTTTGTGGCACTTCTGCGTTAGCTTTAGGCTTATTATACATTAAAGACTATAAATGAAAGCCTTGCTTTATTAGGTTGCACTGCATCTTTATTTTGTATGGCATGTTTTCCTGTGTGTTACTTCAACCACTAATGATGTGGTTGCTATCATTCATTCGGAGCCCCCTTTACCTTTTAGTGTGAGCATTGTTTGACTCACTCAGTCAGCTCCGTGTTACACGTCACAGTAAGCACAACTTCATTTTTAACTGTGATGTCAGTGGACACTATTGGGATATGAGGTGCATTCACTTTGAAGCTATAGTACAGATGTTGATGGGTAGGATGTTTCAGAGGCCTGTCATCAGATTTGTTGGGGGGTCAAAGAAAATACAGAGGTCAGGTGAAGGTACATGTCTTGATTGCTGTTTTCCAGCCATTTCATCGGTTCCAAAAATAATCCTAAAAAAGCTAAAGGATATGGTGGTGGTCTTTGTTCCTTTTGTAAGCAGCACGGCCGCAGGATGACCATTTACCTTGGACTTGAATGACTTTTTTATGTCATTGTCATGAAGCTTTTGATTTGGGGCCGTTGCATAATGAGTGAACTACGTGCAGCTCTTAAGGCTTGCACCGCGTGCAGGGTCAACGCTCAGATTTCGACTCTATGCACTATTTTTCACTTTGCTCAGGAAAAAAAAGTCCAACTGCTGACTTACCCAAGGTTAGACGCTTGCCCAGAACATTTGAGAAGCAGAAAATCGAACATAAAACAGAATCACTCATTTTACCCTCCACCAGCACACTGTACTGAGGATAATCATTAATATCTTGGGAGGAGCTGAATGCTGTTTTGATGCCATGTAAACTTAAAATGTAAAAAATAAATCACTTTAGTGATCTGGCCTAAGATTAGGCACCAGCATGAAGTTTGTATTTATAGATCTACTGGATGAAACTCCATGAAATTCCAAACACACACTCATGTCTCAATCAGGAAAAAATGTAATAACTTTGGTCCTTCCCTTACGCTTCATTGAGCATGATTACCAGATCAATATAATGCAGCCTGATACTTTGGTTTATTGCCAAATAACTGCAAAGCTATTGACACTGTAATTAGACTCTCTGTTGTGTAGCAGTGGCTCAAAACATCACTGTGCCTTAAAGTTATGACCCTTAGTCCAATAATTGACTCGTGTTTCTCACAGGTTTACGAGGATCCCTATCAAGACTCCAGCTAGATTATGTGGACATCGTTTTTGCCAACAGAAATGATGTCAACAGTCCGATGGAAGGTCAGTTTGAACCGCTTACTACTGTTGTAGCACAAATATGGAGGGTTTTTGTATGGTAGTATGTTTTATTTGTGGAAATAAGCTTTAATCAGATGCGTTAGAGTTGTCAAATGAATGTAATTTAAGTGAGATGTCGTGTGCTGTGATTTGCAGAGATTGTACGGGCCATGACGTTTGTAATAAACCAGGGTATGGCTATGTACTGGGGAACCTCGCGCTGGAGCGCAATGGAAATCATGGTGCTGAGCTCTCACTCTTAAAGTCTTACTCTTCACAAATTCACGAGTGTCAGCTTTTTTCCAGATAACGCTGATCACTTACCATTGCATTGTGTTTCCATTTCTGCGGCACCAGGAGGCATACTCAGTGGCACGCCAGTTCAACCTGATACCACCTGTGTGCGAGCAGGCAGAGTATCACTATTTCCAGAGGGACAAAGTGGAAGTGCAGCTTCCTGAACTCTACCACAAGATCGGTCAGGCATCCAAAAACCCCACAGCAACATTTATCTCTTCTTTTTAATTAAGTTTCATTAGTTTCATTCACACTTTCCTCGCTCTGTCAGGTGTTGGAGCGATGACCTGGTCTCCGCTCGCTTGTGGTTTAATCACAGGCAAGTACAGTGATGGTGTACCGGAGTGCTCCAGAGCAGCAATGAAGGTCAGTTTGATCTTCCACTTCTTCTGGCTCCACATCAGCCTCACTATAGTTCTTGATTTTATCGGCATACAGTGTGAATCAGTGCTTTTCTCCATGTTGGTCCTGATGAAGGGGTACCAGTGGCTGAAGGAGCGAGTGAACAGTGAGGAGGGTCGGAGGCAGCTGGCTAAAATCAAGGAGCTCCATCTACTGGCAGACAGACTGGGCTGCACTGCTGCACAGTTAGCCATCGGTATGATCCGAGCAAACGGCCTTAATTTTTTAGTGCAGACATACAGAGATGCAGCTTTGCTTGTTTTCGCATCATGTGACTGCAGATTAAGACTGAATTGATTCGTATTTGCATGATTTTCACTCCTTAAATGACTGATGTTTAATCTTACTGTACACACGCAGGTAGGAAGTGCTGTAACGGTTCTGGGAGAAGTGTTGAAAATCTATGTCTCCTGCATGAAAATAACATTACATAATCTGTGATCTTGTTAATTAAGTGCTTTGTATATGTATGGTCTGCATTAAGGCTTTCAAATGGAATCCAACCACTGGTTAAATCTGTTAACATTTTTTTTAAAAGAAGTCTAAAAAATCAGCTACTTTACTTCGGTTACAAACTGATATTCCTCCAGCAATAAAGTTTTCCTGGTTTGCTCTTTTTACAGCCTGGTGTCTGCGCAGTGAGGGAGTCAGCTCAGTACTTCTGGGTGTTTCTAATACAGACCAGCTTCTTGAGAATCTGGGTGCCCTCCGGGTAAATATGTGCTGTATTCAAATATGCTTTTATGTTTTGTGCGCAATAAAAAGAACCACCCAAAAAAACAGCAGATGACACTTTAAGCTGATGCCACCCTCCCCTTCTTTCAGATTTTATCTCAAATGACCCCTCAAACCGTTACTGAGATGGACGCCCTGCTGGGAAACAAGCCACACTCGAAGAAAGAGTCACGCGCTTGATGATTCAAATCTCAGCGACGGACGATGTTCCGAGAAGTTGAAGAAGACTTTGATATTGGGGAAACATCGCTTTTTGCTCTGCTGTATACTCAACAACTTGCATGTCCTCGGCAACATTTATGCTTCCAGTATGTGCGCATATCCATTCTGCGCAGTACATTATATCATGTAGAAGAAGAAAAAAAGAAAAAAGAAAAAGAGAACTCTCTCAATTGTGGAAGAAAAAAAACATAATCGATCATATATTGCTCACTGTTGATTGTTCAGAGACTAATTATTTCAACATAGAGGAAGGCTAAAGCTGGTCAATCAAATGTCAATCCTAAAATGAGGAAAGAAAGAAAAAAAAAAGGCCACCTCTGCCCTAACATGCAACTTTACTGCGTGAACGGTGCTTTCATTAGACGTGTGAGTCTCCTCCCCTCACAGCTGCCTGTTATTCTGTGTGATGTTTAGTACCCAGCAGCCAGAGAGCTAAAGGTTAGTCCTTATGTGTCTAACCGAACATTTCCCGTATAGTGTGCATGTGACTGCTCTGCCACACTCACCGCTTTATAGGGTTGGGAACAATGAATTACTTGTGAAGTAATAAAAAAAAAACCCCACAGCAAATAAGCCACTCTGGTATTACTTTTTTTTTTTTTAAATCACATGATTTAAAAGGAAAAATTGGCAAATGAATTTCAAACATGAAGGTTACAGAGTTAGAACTGAGTCTGGCAGAAATGTTGAAATAATAATAATAACTTATGTGTGCTGTTACGTTGTCAAATTGGCAATCAGAAATCAAAAGCCAGTGACATTTTGCAAAGTGACTTTTCCCAACCCTGCTGCTTTCTCAGCGGTCCGTTTGCCTCCTCTGTGCGCATGTCCCTTTAAGACAGAATAGCCCTAACAGGGTGTAAATGTGGCATGGCTTCTTTTCTTTTTTTTTACGGCTTATGTAGATTTGCAGTGCCCTTGTAAGCCATTTATTTATTTATTTTTTAAACTCTAAGCGGTCAGATAGTTTTATCCGACATAACCATCCTGCTGGGCACGCTCGCCTTAAAGGCTCTCAGCAGTCTGCAGACACGGCTTGTGTGTTCATGTTGCATATAATCTTTGCATCGTCCTAAACTATGTCAAAAGATGCTGACATCACTTTCTAGCGGTGCCGAGTTGCTGATCTCGAGTCGCAGGTCTGAGACGGCTGGACTGAGCGGAAAGGTTGCTGGGTGTCTGACACAAAGATTGGGACATATTGTGGTGAACGTTACGTTTTCAAAAAGATGGGAAATAAAAACAATAAGTCTGAGTTTATGAAATGTGATACGAGTCTTACCACAGACCACTTAGGGTAAGATTTCGATTAATGTTAACTTTTCTTTTTGTTTGTGGAAGCCTGAAAACACAGCTTCTCTGCTCATTTCTCTCTCTGCATCGCTCCAAATTCGTTCCCATTCTCAAACACACGCACGACAGATTTTATACTGTGCACTTTGTCTTTTTCCCTTTAGTTTTGTAATGACTTCAACACTTTGTAATGTGAAAGGGGGGTGTCTTTTGTTTTGTTTTTCTCCTTTTTTGTGTGATTTGCCATGAAAACTAATCTCCGAGGTGGAGTTTTTGATACACCGGAGTTGTTTCAGCAGACACGAGGTTGCAATATATTGTAAATAGGCTCATGTGTTTTGACGGTGACGTAACAAGAGAGAGTTCAAGTCTGTGGTTCATGAAGGTTTTCTTAAAGGAGCCGCTGAAACGTGGCTCTCCGTGAGTCTGTCATGATGTACAGTTCGACTGAGCGTAGCTTCCTGTGTACATAGGTCCTTCAATCAAACCCTGAAAATGTAACTTTGCCTGCCTAACTTATATTTTACTGTCTTGCAACAAAGAGAAACCAAAACACAAACAAAAAATAATAATAATAAGAGAAGAGACAACTGATTGTGAATGTATCATGTCTGTTGCTCAAACCTACTTAAGGGACAAAGCACATACCCTGTTCCATGAAGTCCAGTGGTTTTTGAACCTGCAAACGTGCAAACATTTACATTGGGATTAGCCAACTCAAGCTTCTTGCACCCCCTTCTTTCAGCTGTTAATACAAAGTCAGATGAGATTTTTGTACTTCCAAAACCCGGAGTAGTCTAATCACAGGTGTGACGCTAAACCCCCAACTGCTAGCTACTCTTCCACGTTCATTTTTGGACCACCTTTTATTTGTGTACATGTGCGATGCAATTTTACGAGTTGCATATGGGCCGCGAGCACTAGTATTTGTCACAACCTTCATTCTCGCATATCATGTGCTCCCTTGATGGGTTTTAGCTTCCTTATGTACACTTTGATGATCAACACAATGTTGATGGACATACTTAGATGACTAAGACACTTAAACCTGTAATTGCTTCAGATTTTTGTTTTATTTTGTTCGACATTTTTATGCAGATAGAAAATAAAGCAGCTTTCAGCTACAGATTTTTATTTTATTTGTGGTTAAGCAGTGACTGGCAGAGGAATGTTCTTAACTAAAGTCAACAGAAGCCAGCAGATAACACTGAGTGCATAATGCATACCTGCAAAGCTCGTTTGTTCCTTCCATTTGAGGTTAGCCTGCACCTTTGTGTTGCTGCTGATATAACAGAGCCTCTTTGTGTTGCACCAAAACAGCACGAGTTGACCGAGCGTGGCGATGGGTGCTGACCGTGGAAATAGTGATTTTTTGTGTGTGAAAAGGCTCAGGGAGATGTGTTGTTTCAGAGAAATTCGAAATCTCCTCACTAAAGCGTAAAAAACTTTGATTATTCATGTGGATCTTCAGACTGTTCTTTCTGAGAGGGGGAAAAACGTCCCTCTGTGAAATCTGGCATTAAGACTGTTTGTGCTTATGTGGATTTACACTAATCAGCTCCTTCTTTTCCTTAGCGCTTCTTGCGAAGAAACGCAATGAGTTGATCAAACTTTTCCTTTTCTTGTATGTTGACGATGGTGACGTTTGTGACAGGCAGCTTTGTTGCGTGCAATAACAGACTATATTTGTAACAAAAGTCCACATCTGATTAATCACTTTGCAAGCGCTGGCTTACAGTATGAGCCACACAAATATTCAGCTGCACATCCAAAGGAGTCAAATTTGCACCTTGTAGTGTTATTGTACAATTACATTTGGGGGTTTGGTTAGCACTAAATCGCAGGTGGATTTAAAACACTAAAAAGCTCACAAATTCAAGAAAGGTGCGAGTTAAGAAGCCTTGCATTTATTTCCCTGCTTACATCCTGTTAAATGTGTGCCAGCTCTTCACCCCTGACTCTTTCAGATGGATGGTACGAGAACAATAACTCAGCCGTGTGTCCGGCGCTCTGTGCCGTGCCCGCTGGGACGCCACACATGTTTACAGCGAGCAGAAAACATCTGTGACGCCAGCACCGGTAGGCCTTCTCTTACTGGATTCCCAGGTGCCCTCAGAGCGACAGATGAAACACATGTGCTGAAAAATATTGACGTCCTCACCGCCAACACAGAAGAAGGAAACAGGTCTTGCCACGTGATTCATTCTCTGTGCGGTGAAACAAGTTGGGGATAAGGTTATAAAGAAAGAAGAAAAAACAGAGAGAAAGATGTTCAGAAGCACATTGGAGATCTACAAGCCCCCACATCTAATAAAGCACATTTCATACCTTACCCAGATGCTGTTGTTTTGGTCCTACAGTGAGCCGATTATATTAGAGGTCAGACCCGGTGATGAAATCCCAGGTAACCTGTAGCTTCTGCTGTGTTGACTAAAATCCTAATACAAATGTAATAATGCAGTGGAGCAAAGCAACCCATGTCAGCACGAGCTGAGCACTCGTGCACCGACTACATTTACTGCATTTGTGTCAATAAAGAGCCTGAAATCCTTCAGCCTCCATCAGAGTGCTGAGAATGAGCCCAGCTCAGTGTTTCTCGTAAGGCTCGCCTCTGCAGCCAAATCCTCATGAAGGTTATTGCTGTGTTACAGACCACTGGGTGATATCTCTTTGTTACAATAAGGATGGCTTCCTGCTACTTAGCACAGCATGAAAATGTGCAACAATCTGCTGCTTAAAATATTCAGAAAGAAGAACTATACGCTGTTTGAAGTAGAAACATTTGATAATACTACAGTGCCCTGCAGTATCTAAGACATAAAATCATTTTTGTTCTTATTAATTTAGGGACCGTTTTTAAATATTTGTTTTACACAGACACCATGTGGAAGTCAGAAACAAGAAGACAAGCTAAATTAATGTTGATTTGGATCTTTGCTGATAATTCGAACACTTTGTAGTTATTGCAGTGGGCTCGCCAAGACAAGGACAGGACAGCGTTTCACATGCACTTATTCCAATAGAATAACCTCCTTCGCACATTTCAAAAAGAGTCCATGCAGATCGTTTGCTTCAAGGACACATACAACCCTCATCCTCCTAATGTATGCTGTCTCCACTGTGCCAAGCCAGTTAAATCTCGACTCCTTTAATCTGACCCCACCTGCTACCATACAATAAATGGATGAAGTGGACTAAGCTACTGTGGACTTCCTTTTTATTGCTGTATTTTCACGTGTTTGGCTTTCAGGTTATGCAAGTGCATATATATATATATATATATATATATATATATATATATATATAATATATATATATATATATATATATATATATATACATATATATATATATCTATCAGAAACTCCCATATTAGTAGAAATGTATTACTTAGGAAAGTTGGGAGAGTGGAGGGGGAAATAAAGAGCTCCCGCTTGTCCTTAATTCCTCCCCCTCTGTTTGCACATCTGCTGAATCACATTAAACTCCCCACAGGCCGCTTCACAACAGAAGTCCTCAACATCATTTCAGCGAGCTGGAGCCCTTCAGCCTCTGTTTGCTGCCATGGGAATGCATCTGAAGTGTTTTTTATAACTGCTTAAAAAAAACAAAAAAAAACACGCACACAACCATCTCTTTTACTTTTCCTGCTCTGAGTCAGCTTTTACAAGCTCTTCAATTACTTTACATTGTCACAAGGAAAAAAAGAGAAAAAAAAGGAAGCCAGGTGATCACAGGTTACCTTTATTTTACTAAAATACACGTTTCATGCAGGGTTTTTTTTGTCACTTTCCACAACAGAAACACACCTAAACTAATGCCACCTCGGGGCTTCTTATTTTAAATGTTTTTTTCTTGTCTGCCGCACAACAACAGGCAAAGAGGGACATTAAAGTCACACGGTACAATATCCCGCATGTGCAAATTCCTAGTGGCTTCATAAATAGCGAGTCCTCATCTGATGTCACATGCCGTTATTAGCGAACCAATAGCGAGCCAGATGTATCTGGTCATAGCGACGCAGTTTACGCTGGGAAAAGAAAGTCATGCTCAATGCGCCGGAAATCAACAATAACGGAGTGCTGTATTGCTTTTGAAAATTAATGTCATAAAAAAATATGTGTGCGGTAAAAAGTAGCCTTAATCTATCACGTTTTAAAAACAAACAACCAAGAAAAACTTAGATGAAGTTGGTCAGCTGGATGCATCTTTTCCCTCCAGTTTTATTGCCACCTTTATGGCACCGACTGTGACCCTGCAGGGGGGGGGAAAGCACTGACAGGCCACGTTCCAAACAGTGGAGAAGGCATACGTGAATCAGAGCACATGACGTGTAAAAAAGGAGAGACTGAGCATGGAGGAAACTCTTTCCAAGGCCTGCTATGATCTTCGTATGAAAATAAAAAGAGGTAGGCAAATTGTCTCTGCTGCTCAGAAAACACTGGCAGTTTAATAAGATGCAAACGGGGATGAAGTGCTTATCAAACATGCTACACGCAAAGCCAGTTTTTTTCCCCTAAGTGACAGTCCAGCACAGCATGCCTGAAACAAACCACCTAGCCTATTCAGAATAGTGTTCTTCCTTATGCAGCTTGTTGCATATTAATAATATTTAATCTTATAATAACTTTTTTTCTTGTGTAAACAAGGAGACAGCAAAACACACGACTCATGCATGCATTATCATCTCCAGAATGTGGAACAATAGTAAACACAGACGGATGTTACTGCACAGCATATTTAGTGGCTTTTTGTTTTGTTTTTCTCTCTATTTTTTTTTCCTTTTTTTGTTTTTAGGCTGTGGGGGAATGTCAGAGAGCTTCGTTTGCTAACACAGAAATAAAAGCGACCACAGTTAGACCGCTCAACGCTTTTCTTTCCTGCCGCCTGTCTGCATGACATCATTAAGGGAGAACGACACGAAGGCAATCTGCTCGAGTTCACTCTCTTTCCCGCACTCCATCAGGCACGAAAACTGATCCTTGTCCCCGTTGTAAGCCAGGTCCGAGTAGCCGCTGGGCCCCCTGTGGATGATCCTGGGTCTGTCCCATCCGGATGAGTGCAGGGGGGATCGGTTCAAATACACACCCATGTCCCTTCTTCTGGACTTGCTCGTCGGGTGCATGAAGAGGAGCCAGGTTTGCGTGTCTGGTGACAGGAGCGATGTGCCGCAGGCTTTGCTTTCCGCGTCGTCGTTTGGGACAAATTCCGGCGCGGGAAAGCCGATGATGCTTCCCTGACATCCGTAGCGCGTTTCCACCAGCTCCGGGGCCATGTGGGGCTTGTCGAAGTAGACGCCGCTGTTTTCACTGAGAGCCTCACACCTGTGGCCCCCGGCATTACGAGCATTGCAGTAGAGGTGGCTCCTGCCCTCGTGGTCTATGATCTCGGCCATTTCACATTCGCACGACTTCTTCCGCAGCATCTTACCTATGTGCCACGTCTGTCCAAAGTCCTCGCTATATACTGACAGTGCACGTGGGTAGACTGTGCAAGGGATGGGGAAGGAGCAGCATCTGTAAGGAATGTAGTAGGCGTACGCAGGGATGATCAGTCGGCCGTTCTCAAGCTGAACACCGTGGCCGGGGCCCACGGCGAATGTGGCCCACTTGTGAATGGCCTCGCCGATCACGCTGTCAGTTAAGTCTGTCACTTGGCTCCAAGTCTGGCCGTCGTCTCGGCTGCTGACGTAGCAAAGACGAGTCTTGTTCTTACCTGTCAGGATCTGCTTCGCTTCCGTGGTTGTGCCCCACACACAGATGAAAAACAAATAGAGCGTTTTGGTGTTTTTTTCATACACCGGGCAAGGATTCATAGTGCGGTGGTTTGGCAGGCACACCGAAGACAGCTCCTGACTGGACGACCACTGGAAAAAAAAACAAAATCCCAGAAACATGACAAAGGCAACATTTGAAAAGAGGACAACAAATCATGTTAACTTCAACTATGAAAATCAAAGTGATCATGTGGCAATGGTAACCTGCATGGATCCATCCTCTTTCAGGGTGCCTCTCCTCATAACGAAAATTTTGGCGTCATTGTCACAGGGTGAGGATCTCTTCTCTGCAAAGGCGAGGAAGGTGTGACAGTGCCTCAGATAGACGAGAGCAGGGATTCTGTATGTTATCCCACTTGGCTCCCTTTCAAACAAAGTTGTTTTAGGAGGTTCTTCTCCGCTGTCTCCCTTCGACGACGTGTTTCCCATGGTGGATCAGAGCTCCTGTGAGCAATAAAATGTCCTAAAATGCATGACAGAGCCTCAGCTTCTTTTATAGTCTTGTTATAACAACCTTCAAAGCACAGACTCGGTGAAGAGTTCACACTCCAGCAGCTCCCTATAAACACAGACCGCTGCATTGCCACAAACAGCTCGCACCGTGCATGCACAGCAAAGCCCTTACCTTCACTGATCGCTCTTCACAGGTCCCACTCGTGATCTTTGTCTGAACATCATACCGTCTATAATCGCACGCGAAACCAGAGACCTCTGATGTTCACGACACTGATGCTGTTGGTTCATCAGAAACGAAGCCGTACCTGAGACCGAGAGAGACTTTTACGCTCCCTTCCGCGTTCGCTTCTCAGCTAAACTAAACGTCGACTTTATGCAAATGAATATATCCACCTTCGTATTTGATTGTGTTTTTCTTACTAGCACTACCGCAATAATGACTACATATCAGTTATGGCTGTCACTACCTACGCCGCTCTAAAACGGCCTTCCCCCGCAGGGACGCCCTACACAGAAGCTAGCTAACTAGCCGGTTTAAACAAACACAGGTCAGGCTTAAAATCTTCCGAGAGTAATTATTTGCCAAACAATACACAAAATAAAGCATTTCCTGGTTGTAAACGTGCTTTTTTAATGTCTTTGAATGCCTCAGGTTGGCCCGGCGGAGTATTATCTTGCCATTTTAGTTAATCTTTGAACACCTAAACTCACCGGTCTCTTCCGCCTTTAGCTTAGAAAAGAAATGTTACTGCCCCCTGCTGGACGGGAGAAGCGGTACTCGTCTTACGTGCTGTTGCTAAGATACAGAGAGCTACACTGAAGCTCGGGATCAAACACATTGTAGCAGTTTTTTGACATAGTGTGGTGATAAATGGATTTGGCTGCAGTCAGGATGACTTCAGAGTCCTACACCGCTGACGCAGGGCGGAGCTATCCTGTAAATTGTTTCCCTGCCGGGACTTCACACCACAGAAGACGAGACGGTATGTTGAAATAAAGCAAGGTTGTAACTAGCTTATATTAATGAAATAAATATAGTGAAAACGAACAGCACCAAAACCAAGTTAGCTGGTTACTCTAATGTTGTAAATGCTGTAATGTGAGCTACTGCTATGTACAGTACAAAGTAAATATTATTTATCAAAAGGGGCCCAGAAGTTCAAGCAGTACCAAAGGGCACTTTTATGAATGGAATTTGGGCCATACCCTAAATAATATTTGTGCTTGGTCTACTGAGCTGTCTACACTGTATTAAACTGTATGTGTCTGTCTGTATACAGGTGTATGAATGGAGGGTTTAGTTGAGAGAAATCATAGTTGGCAAAAATCATAGTTTAATTTTGAACATACATGCCCACATATCCGTAATCAGACCAGCCCATCTGGAATCAACAATTATGCCACTTAAATCACCTTTCTGATCCTCAGTTTAAACTTCAGCAGGTCATCTTGACATGTCTAAGCCAAAATATACTGGGTTGTTGCCATGTCACTGGTTCATAAGATATTTGCATTAGTGAGCAGATGCACTGCTCAGTGAGAAAAGAACTGACAGATCCAGAATGAAGAGACTAACCAATAATGAAGAGTGTTTACCTGTGTGAAAACACCTGCTGGCGTGGTTTTAGTCATCCATCTTTGCTTTTATAGGTGCTGGGCACTGGCTTGCAGCTTACAGGGAGGCAGAGGAGCAAAAATACAGGCATCAACGTAGGAGAACAAAAGCAGCTTATAAAAAATGTGAGAGCGAGCTGGCTGATACTTCTCATGGAGTCACATTAGACAGAGCTTTCCTGGTATGAACCTTGAATTCAACACACAAACGCTTATCTGACAAAAGTTAGAAAAACAGTGATATTTTTTTATTTTCTTTTTCAGCTCCAGTTGCATCATGTTGACAGACCCTCTGAGCTCTGTTCTCTGGACATCAGCGAGCAGAAACTAAGCTCTGTAAGAGCCACCTTTTCCTACTTTTACTTACCTTTATCAGCCTGTTGGTTAAAATCATTTGTGATTAGTTCCTTTATACTGGGGGTCACAGGTCAAACCAGAAGAACTCGAGGTGTTTGATAACGTGGCTTACATCAACGCATCTATTAACTCCCTCTCTCTAGGTGAATATGCATGTATACATTATCCTGCAGATTTCATTCTAGCATCGCTGTGTGTGCCTTTTTCATGAAGTCATATCAGAGGCTGTCCATTGTTTTTGCTGCAGGATCTTTCAGTAGTTTTGTGTCTCTAAGAGAACTCAACCTGTCATTAAATGAGGTTAGCGACTTGATGTTTGATGCTGCTGCCTTCCCTCTTCTTGAGGTAAGATGACTCGGCGGTGCTTTGTAACTGTGAATGTGCAAAAGAGATGCTGACATTCAGAGGAAGAGTTAAATGTGTGCCATTTTTCTTCTTCTTCTTCTCTCCTTCTTCTTTTGAATGTGGTTAAGTTCACCCGAACAGTGCATTTTAATCCTCGCAGGTTCTGGATTTGTCCTACAACTGCTTATCACCTGATGCTATTGTTTCTCTCGGTCGGCTCCCACGTCTTAAGGTCCTTCATCTAACTGCAAATCAGCTTCAGCGTCTCCCTCCTAATCTGGGCCCCTCACACCAAGACCCCACTCAGCTGTAAGTGCCTGAAATAGCAATCTATTTTTTACCACGTTTCATCCACGATCAAGAGACGTTAGCCGTCCATCAGTTCAGATGATGAATTTGCTCGTCTTTCCTGCCCACTTTGATGTACGTTTATACTGAAAAGCTTCAAATGAATAAACTTCAGAAGTATGTGCACATTGGTACTGGGCAAAAACAGAATTTGCGAGTGTAGTCTTGGTCTTCTATCCCCACCTCACACACACACAGACACACATACACACACAGTTCTGCCCTGCTTTGTGTTAAATGACTGACAACAAAACAAACTTTAGGTATAAAAAGCTGCCTGATTTACAAATTTACAAATCCAATAGTGGTAGTCATTAAACTAGCTGAATCCAGCTCCCATAAATAATTAGTAAAATATTCCAAGATGAAATAATTTATGGCTATCTTTTAAAATCTGTGTTAACTCAGCATGTTTTAAGTGTTATGATTATCATGATCCATGAAGTTATCCAGTACCTTGGTTATGATTTCATGACACATTTCATTCCTGAAACATTCACAAATGTAGTTTTCAAACCCACCAAAAGGGGGAGCACAAATGCTCCAAATTCACACTTCTGAGCCGGTAAACCTGCACTCACAGGCCACTTTGTTAGGTACACCTTGCTAGTACCAGTTTGGACAGTGTTTTGACTACACAACTGCCTTAAAGCTCCATGGTACAGATGGAGATGGAGACAGGGCATATCCTGTTGGAGACAACCACCACAAGATGGGTACTGTGGTCATAAAGGGATGAAAATGCTCTGCAGCAATACTCAAGTAGGCTGTGACATTTAGACTAAGGTAGTGTGCCAAGAAAATGTCCCATTACACCACCTGCAGTTGTCTGAACCACTGATACAAGGCAGGTTGGATCAATGCTTTCATGTTTTTTCCAGTCTTCTATTGTCCAGTTTTGGTGAACTTGTTTAACTTACAGCCCTTTTTTCCTGCTCTTAGCTCACAGGAGCTTGGTTGTAAAGAGTGGATATTTGAGTTGCCCTTGCCTTCTTATCAGCTCGAAGCAGTCTGGATATTCTCCTTTGACCTCCACCATCAACAGCACTTTCTCCCAGAGACCTGCCAGTCAAGGGATGTTTTCTCTCTTTGAGGTCAACCTCTGTAAACATTCTGATGCTCGTATTGAACTTCAGCAGGTTGTCTTGACCATGACCACATGGCTAGAGGCAGCGAGCTGCTGCCCTGTGATTGGCTGATTTGTGTAAATGAGGGGTTGAATGGTTTACCAAAGTCACTGATGAAAATAGATACATAAAATCTTATTTCACTTTAATTGTATCATCACACACATTTAGCATTTCTTCGTTTACGTGTAGGCCGGCTAAAGATGAAGACACATGCTTTCAAGCTCTAGAAGTCCTGATGCTTGATGATAATGAACTGACCTCTGGAGTCTTCAGGAGCCTTAAAAACCTAACGAGGTCTGTAAGTTTTCCTGTAAAGACTTTTTGCATACAAAATATTCATTATAAATGCACTTTTAAAAAGTCTGCATGCATATTGCCAGCCTTTGTGCGTCACAGTGCAAGTGAGAAATTGCACTTTTAAATAAAAGTGTTTCTTAACATGGACTCCTTTATCACAAGGCACAGCAAATTAGTGGAAACGCTCATTAAGCATTTTTAATTGTTGATTACAGGCTAAAGCATTTAAGCCTACAGGGGAACTGCATTTCTGAAATACCGTTCATGCAACTGGTGGGTTTTTCCAAACCTGTGCAGACTGCCACTGAAGAAGAGGAGGAAGAGGGTAAATACTCGGCATCAGCTTTGTGTAATTCACATGTGTGTCCAAAATTTCCTTTAAAAATATCTCTCCCGATCCAGCACTCGCTCACTCGGAGCCTTCCGATCAGTATTTGACAAGAATCTCAGAGGTAATTCGTCCATGATCTTTTAGATGTGTCATCACTGTAGCTCGGTGTTATTCTCCCATTAAACTTGCGTGTCTCGTGGTCACTCTAGATCTTTCGCAAACACAACTGGGAGCAGAACCGCAAAGAATCCAGTTTACCTCTTCCAGCGCTGCAGTACCTCAACCTAGCTGACAACAAGGTGTGCTGCTGCTTTTTATAAATAAATCCACTATTTTTGGGAAATGAGGTAGCGTGACACACCGGTGGTTTCTCATCAGGTTGCTAAGGAGGAAGCACTGATGGCTGCCACTCTTTTCCCAAAGCTTCGTGAAATTGATATTCAGTTCAACCCCATAACCACGCGGAGGAGAGGTAATATTCCTCCTGTAAAGAATCATTTTAAAATAGGTGTTCGGGGCTTCAGAAACAACCTCATCATGTCTTTGTTTAAATACAGGAGATCCTCCCTTGCTGGCCTACATGCAGGAGAGACTTGGAATAACAATAAAGCAGAAGAAAACACCGGAGGTTGTGAAGCGCCCGCTGAAAGTGTCCACTGAACCAAAATGGAAGGTTGGACTTTTTTGTGTTTGATCACGATCCGTTGGATTTTGCTGTATCAATGTCCAGGCTGGAGTCTTAGGTTTAGTGATTTTGCAGAAAGGACGTGTGATTGACTCCAAGGTGGTCATATTTTTGGTAGCGTTTGCCTCTAAACTTGATCGTTTTTTATGAATTCTGATAAAACTCTGTAAGGGCGTAGAGTGGGGTCATGCTAACAATCCATTAAAAGTGGATTTGCATGCACTAAGGTCTTCAAGGCCAACTTAATGATTGATTGCTCAGAAATGGATAAAAATAAGTCTGGTGTGTGTTATCAAGCTTTTTGCTTTTGTATTAATCACTGTAAAGTTCCATTTCAGTGAATGAATCATTATGTTTTCAATGTTTTCATATTGGAGGTGGATGAAAAAATACCAAAGGTGTCAAAGAAGCTAATACTGCTGAATCCACAAAGCCAGGCTGGCAAAAATGAAGGCAAAAACAGCAGAAACCACACCTTCCATGAAAAAAGAAAACCCTTCTTTCTTACTCAGGTATGTTCTTCAGTAGTTTTCCTCATTGGGATATAAAAATCCATCATTTTACCAAGTTTTTTAAATGTTAGTTAATGCCGCAGCATTTTAACGTAGTCAGTGTTATTTCATGCTCAGGCAGCAGATGGACCTGAGTTTGAATTTGGTCTTCTTCCTGAAGACAAAGAAACTGCAGACAGCAAGGAGAGAAAGCAGTTTGATTTCTTGATGGATGTCGAACCGAACCCTCGTGTGCTCAAGCTCAGTGGTGAGGAAGGAGGAATGTATTTTCATCTGCAGCCATTTCGTTTTTTTGTCAATTGTTTCAAAGCCAGTAAAGTTTGGCTATACAGCGGGACCGTGGAGAATACTGATGCTTTCTTTCTCTCTTCCTTTCTTTGTGCAGGAATTCAAACAGCTGTTCGGATGCTGGAGCACACACTGAAGAATCTCCATGTTTACAGGGACTCGAAACCAAAGCTCGACAGCATCCAGACGCCGTACAGGGAGCGAGAGAAAAGGGTTTGATGTTTAGCCACGCAAACTTCATTTGCAGGCTCGTAAATTGCAATAAACCGAGCGACTTTAACTACGTTTTTATTAATTACTGCACACAGATTAAGGAGCTGCCACCTCTGAAACCTGTGAAGCAGCTGACTGAAAGGGTAGAGGACATGATCAAAGAAATCAGAGAGAGTAAAACAGTAAAAGTGGTCCCTTTAGGTATGCACATTTCCTACTTATACGCAGTGAATGTCAACATATTTCCCCTGTAAAGCCCTCTTTCTTTAAATAACACTCTGTTTTCTGTCCAGCCACTACCCTACAAAGCAGAGGTGTCAGTAAGCAAGAATATAAGGAAGCTCTCTCGCTGATGAGGGACATGAAAAGAACATATAAGATGGTCCACGCGAAAACAATGGAGCAAGAAGCCGCCATCAAGTCTGACAGAGACTCTGACCAAATCTGAGTTGAATCTCCATCTGTTTAACAGTCACATCCAAATAATTAGCCGAGCAGATTTTCTTTGGCTTGAAATGTTTTCTTTGTATTACTGTGAGTAGAAATAAGTAAATCGAGCAATGTTTTCCTCGACTATCAGCTCTAGAGTTGAAGTGCAGAGTTCACAAAGCTGTAGCAGATGCAAGTGTGTCTAATTGTAACTAAAAAAGTGTGCCACTGTCTGCTCCCCGTAAGCCTGACAGTTCTGAGCAGCTGTGCCGCCACGGCTGTGACCAGAATCCATCCAGGATGAATGCATTGTATTCATTAGGAGTTTGTCAGTAGAGCTCATTGCAAAAACAGAAAGTAGAGAGAGCTTTTTCTCTCTTTTTGTTTTGTTTTGGGTGAGGAGAGGTGTTTTAGACTGTGCACATTTATATGCAAACACCCTGTTCTGTTGAAGGAACACTGGGGTAGATTAACAGTGCAACAAAGTCCACATCAAGCCCTGCTGTATTTGAAAATGTTGTACACCCTCTAATGGTTCCCAATCAGCTATTCTCCATGGGTATTGTGCATCACCCTCTCACTCACCTTTTATATGGTAAATGGCCTGTATTTATATAGCGCTTTACTAGTCCCTAAGGACCCCAAAGCGCTTTACATATCCAGTCATCCACCCATTCACACACACATTCACACATATATGAGATTTTCAAAAATGATTATGTGGCTGATTATTATCTTTTCGTAACTTTGAACAGACTTCTGCAGTGCAGAATGATTTAGGTTTCGATGCCAATGTGCGGTATTACTACGAGTTGAGAGTGGTAGTTGTTTGTTTTCGTTGCTCATTCCCTTTTTGATTTCATGGTCTTGTCCATCATATGATTTTGATTATTTGTCTCGAGTGCAGCGTGCAGATGTGGAATGCATGTTCAGCCCCTGTGGAATAAATCACTTGGCACTCTGAAGATACTGGGTGCAGGGATTCTGGGTTTTTACATTCATGTCGGGACATTTTTCTGCTCCTGTATGGATTGAATCATAAAACATTTATGCATTTCTTACGCTAAACAAAAAAGCGTGCTCTGGCAGGGGGTTCGGTTTAAGACGGGACCCAGATTCAACATGCGAGGAGGTTGTAGGGAAAAAGGTGATAAAACTTTTATGGAACGAGCCGAGGAACAGCTGAGGTGTTGATCTCGGGAGGGGAAGACACAGAAGAGACGAAGAACAGGCAGAATGGGCCTAATGCAGCACAAACAATGGATCAGAGTCACCTGATCCAGCCATAGAAGGAAATTTTGAAGCCTAATGTTAGAACAGAGAGAGTCTGCCTTCCAAACCCAAACCTGGAGCCTGGTTCTGCCTCTCATTATGCTCCCGGAAACAGTGGGAACCACAAGTAAGATGTACTCTGAGGGTTAACATGCTGCTCCAGGATCTTTAGGATAAAAGCAGCTTGGTTATAATTTAATTCTGCATTTCACTGTCTTTTTCAGTTTGATCAAAAATGTAAACACAACAGAAGATAGTATGTCTGTGAAGGTTCTCAGTCATCCAGGTCATCGTAGTCAAAGGAGCTTGCAAAGAAAAGCGTCTGGACTTCTTTAAGTTACTTGAAGACGTTTCACCTCTCATCCGAGAAGCTTCTTCAGATCTAAGGTCAAATGGTGGAGAGTCCCAGATATAAACCTAGTGGGAGTTTCCCCCCACAGAGGGACAAAAGGACCCCCTGATGATCCTCTAATCACCTGAGCCAAGGTGTGAAATTGGGTGTGGGTCCCAATCAGCCAGAGTTTCGGGTGAGTTCATTGTGAAACCTGGCCCCACCTTATCATGCGAATTCCTGAGATCAGATGGCCCAGGATGTGAGTGGGCGTTAAGGCGTCTGGGAAGGGATCTCAAAACTGGATTATAGATGGCAGAGAGTTGGTGTCGTAAACCACCGCCTCTGTTCAAAGATGGTCGCTCACAGTGGACATAGATGGCTTCTTTCACTCCTCTTTCAAACCATCTGTCCTCTCTGTCCAAAATGTGAACATTGGCATCCTTGAGAGAGTGTCCTTTATCCTTAAGATGCAGATGGACTGCTGAGTCTTGTCCTGTGGAGGTGGCTCTTCTGTGTTGTGCCATGCGCTTGTGAAGTGGCTGCTTGGTCTCTCCAATGTAGAGGTCTGGGCATTCCTCGCTGCACTGTACAGCATACACCACATTGTTAAGTCTGTGTTTTGGCGTTTTGTCTTTCGGGTGAACCAGTTTTTGTCTGAGCGTGTTGCTGGGTCTGAAATGCACCGGGATGTCATGCTTGGAGAAAACCCTCCTGAGTTTTTCTGATACACCGGCTACATAGGGGATGACAATGTTGTTGCGTCTGTCCTTCTTATCCTCCCTCGCTGGTGGAAGCTTCTCGGATGAGAGGTGAAACGTCTTCAAGTAACTTAAAGAAGTCCAGACGCTTTTCTTTGCAAGCTCCTTTGACAACAGAAGATAGTGCTTAGTTATTGAAACCGGGGTGTCTGCATGATTGGGCGTGCGCTGCTTTAACATGGTGTTGTGGTTGTGTTGTATAACTACTGTGAATTTCTGAAACCTTGCCCCCGGGAAACATGCCTAATAATAAAAACAGTGAAAAAAATTACAGTAGCTGCTCACCATAGCAATGGAGTGCATGCAGAAGGAACTCTTTTAGTTTTGTGTGTGGAAGAGTCAGCATTGGGTTCCAGTGATATGTTTTAATGAAATCAATCACTGAGCTCTAGCATGAGAATCGCTGTCATTGTGGTGTCACACAAATCTTAGCGATAAACAACTTTCAGCATTGTAATTAGTTTAAAGCAGTGTTCTATTATTTTTTCACTAAAAAGTTAGTCTTGATGGATGAACAGTTTGACACAGTGAAAACAATCGGTACAGTGCTGCTCAGTGCTATCAGGCAAACACCTGGTCTCCAGTCTGATGGCCTTGTTCAGGTCTTTTCATCCTTAACTATATTTTTGCTGGTAATGAGGAGCCTGTGCCAAATGGCAGAGACACCCTTCTACAGAAATACTCTTTTCCAGTCCAGTGGAGCTCAGCTCCACACAGCCGAGCTTGTCTGAGCTGCAGCGATATTCCACAGTATTGGACACAACAGCTGCTGAAAATCCTCGATGCTAAATAGATTATAAATGATCAGATTGTTTTCATTATTGACTCTCAAATTGCACTTTTACTCCCTATCCAGGCTTGGGTGCGACTCCATTAAAGTGCCCTGAGACTTGTTGTTGCTTTCACTAACATTATGGATTTTGTTCTGCAGCCAGGAAGTCCTAGCATGAACTTATTTTGTTTGACCAGATTGCTGTTACAAAGTAATTTAGAAATGATAATGATTAGTACTTGCAGTCCAGTGCTGTCATGTTGTAATTCTTTAATGCTGGAAGAAAAATAGACATGTACTCTTGTGCAAGAGGTTTGTTACACATGTTAGTTTTCCACATTTTTGGGAATAATCAGTCCCTCTGATGGCTGTCTATTCCAAGTACACTCTAGGCGTTTACTGACCTCATCACAAACTTGGAGATCTCTCCAAGAACTCTTCACGAGATTGTGAAAAAATAACTCAGATGCACTTAGTTGGTAAACCTTCCACTTTTTTCACCAGCTCTTTTGGGACATACACCTTCCTTTTCTTTGTTTGTGTTTGTGCCAACATGTGAAAATTTTAGATTATGTAATTAATAAAGCAGATGAATCTGATCATTTCTTTTCCCGCATTACCGTTGTGCAGGCGATGAATCCTGGCTTCATGCTGTTACCTCAGGCTCCTTCTGCAATTCTAAAAGAATCTGTTATCAGGAAAAAGTCAGAAGGATAACTACCAAAGCAACTACAAATTCCCCTTTGAGTCTGATCAGTCGATGAGTAATTAATCACAGCCAGTTGTGCTTGAATCTGCCAACACAGTTTCAGTGTGAGCAGTTGCTTTATATAGACATAAACAGTACCCCAAAATACCCCAAGAATGCAATACAAAGGGATGTTTTATACTAACAGATGTTTTTATATTTATCAGCTATGTCAATAAATAATGACAGATGCAGGACACAAAGCTGTAAAGGCCCTGTGGTACGAATGGCTTCAAAACCTCTGGATCCTACACTTCCCAAAATGCAATTTACCCAGTTTGCACTTAAACCCCACATTCCCAGCATAAATAACCTCGATGACATCAATGTGATATCATGAGCATTATTTTTTGTTGTCATATATAATTGATTTACTTGTAGACGCCTCATGGGGGTGCTTAAAAGAGGACCTCTTATGCTTCTCTTTATTTTCTACCACATATGCAGCCACATGAAAAACAAAGTACTCTCACATCTGGTGAAAAGCAAACACAGCAAGTCAGCACAAACACCTCATACTAACTGTCAAACACAGTGGCGGAGGACTGAAAATTTGGGCTTGTTTTGCAGCCACAGGACCTGGGCATCTTGCAGTCATTGAGTCAACCGCGAGCTCTTCTGTATACCAGAGCATTCGAGGGTCAAACGTGAGGCGATCTGTTATCTGTCAACAACTAAAACTTGACTCAGACTGCAACAGGACAAAAATCTCAAGCACAGCAGCAACTCTACAAAGGAAACGAAAGAAAAGAACCAAGATGTTGCAATAGTCGAATCAAAGCTCAGACCTCAACCTGACTAAAATGCTGTGGCAGGACCTTAAGAAAGCTGTGCATAAATAAACACCCACAAAGAAAAGTGGTACAAATGACTCTAAAACGATGTGAGGAACTGATAAAATTGCATGGAAAACAATTCCTTTTAGTTATTGCTAAAGGCTACAGGCTACTGAATAACTGGCTGTAGGCCTACTTTGTTTTTCCCCACAGAGCGCCTTCTTTTTCACTTAGTTTGTGACAAATAAATATTGATTCATATTGATGTTCATCTGAGATTTTCTTTAATTAATTTTAGAACCTATGAAGGACTAAATCTTTTTGTAATAGGTCTTAACATGTAGAGTTTTGGGAATGTCTACACCTTCTGTTTTTTGCACAACAGTAAATAGACGCCAGAGCAGTCTAGATGCTTGGACTTTTAGTTCTGCATGATAGTATACCTATATATTAGGGGTGCAACGATACACAAAATTCACGGTTCGGTTCGATATTTTTTCGATACAGAAAAAAATGTTCATGCCTTTTTAATTTGTCATTTATTAAATTTTCACGGCACATTCCGCACCACATCTCTGTGCGTTCATCATTTGTTTGAAGCCAGCTCACCTCCTGCAACTACTTTTCCGAAAATACGTGCTTCTTTTGTGGTTCGGACTCCTGACATTTCTTTGGAGGTGGAGGAACATCACAGTAATTGCTTAAAGGAGCTTCTTCGACATCTTTAAGAGTTCTAAACAAATGTCGGTCCTCCTCCAGAAAATCTTATGTACGCAAATGTAACGGAGGCGGAAGGCTGATTCTACTTCCACAGTGGTTTTGTGCGAAGGAAGGAAACCTTCCTCCAGACGGATTGAGCAGTGGGAAAACCCGGCGGCGTCTCGCCGCCCTATCAATGTTTCTGTTCCGGTTTCCCGAATGGGCAGAGCTCTCAACTCTGCCACCGCTTTCCTGTGGCAAACCAAGCAGCACCAGCCCGTCTGGGCTTGTGGCCGCCGCCACCGCCTGATACCGTTCACTCTCCCAGTCCTCACTCCACCATCAGTGTCTTCTCTCTCGTCTCCCATCACTCTTATTGGCCTCCGGGACCTCACAGGTGTGTTGGGTTCATAATCAAGGAGGGGCGGAGACTTTCCAGGACAAGTCACCGATGAATACCATAAAACATGCAATAAAACCCATAAGAATACAACACTATACAATATTAAAGAAAGTAAAACACAACCAAACATGCACAATAAAAATATCTTAGGTAACTTGTCCCTCTCCACCCCGTGACATCCCCCCACAC